CTCGGGAGACAGCGCGCGGCTCCCTAGGGCGCCGCGACGGGGCAGTGGGGGCCGCGCGCGGCTCCCCAGGGCGCCGCGACGGGGCAGCGGGGGGCCGCGCGCGGCTCCCTAAGGCGTCGCGACGAGGGTGCGGGGGCCACGCACGGCTCCCCGGGGCGTCGCGACGGGGCAGCGGGAGGCCGCGCGCGGCTCCCCATGGCATCGCGACGAGTGTGCGGGGGCCGCGCGCGGCTCCCCAGGGCGCCGCGACGGGGCAGCTGGGGCGACGCGCAAGCCCGCGGGGCGACGCGACGAAAGCCCGGGCGACGCGACGGGATCCCGGGGGGCGACGCGACAGTCGACGGGGTGGGGACGCGTGGGTCCCCAGGGTGACGCGCGAGGCAGTAAACAGCCGCCATGCGCCCCGAGCACGTGGCGGGAAGAAAAAGCGTCGCGCGCCAGACAGCAGCGGAAGCAGGCGGGCCCACAGGCCAGGAGCGTAACCGCTCTGATAGCATTTCAAAACATTAGGCAGAAACGATAGAACAGAGAAGAGGGGTTTTGGACTAGCAGCAGTAGGATACATATAGGAAACCCTAAATTGGGCTGTACTCACTATAGAGTACCCCACTGCAGGCTAGACAAATATAACATTTGGACAGAGCCTCCCCGCTGGAAGGCTCCACCCCGACCGCCACCACTGCCGCCGCCACCGCTCCAGCTGCTGCCACCACCGCCGCTGCCGCAGCCACCTCCACCACCCCCACTGCTGCCACCTCCGCTCCGCTGCCTCCACTCCCAGTACTACCGCTGCCCGCCACCACACCTACGCCCCCCCCCTGTCACCACTCGCACCGCCACCTCCGCCACCACCGCCACCCCCGTCGCCCCCACCACTGCCCCCCCCCCGCCGCCACCTCCACCACTCCTACCTCCCTTGCCCCTGCCGCTGCGGCGCTTCCCACTAGGAGCAGAAGCAGCACCGACCTCCTCAGCACCAAGGAAGTCAACAGCAACAGCAGCAGCGTAGGAGGGGGCAAGGGGGGAGGGGGAACACCCCTCAAATTGGGAGTGCGAGGAGTGCCACAAGCAGCACCTACATCGACAATACTCTTCTTTGCTGCAAGTAGGTGCTTCTCGAAGTCGTCGATAGTGAGGGCAGTAGGGTCAAGCGCTAGAAAGTGGTACCTGACCGTAGGAAGGGAGTCAGGTAGGCTGGTGACTAGGAAGTAGAGTGTGATATACATCGGGGGGGGGGGGGGGGGGGGGGGGGGGGGGGGGGGGGGGGGGGGGGGGGTGGAGGTCGTGAACTCTGCAGAGAGTGTGGCACAGTAGTGAACGTCACTAGCGCGAAAGTGGGAAATGAGGTCCTCAACTGTGGCAAAGGAGGACAGCTCGGGAAACAGGTAGGGCAGCATAAGGCGGCTAAGAGCAGCAGTGGCAGGGGACGAGTAGCGAGCGACTACAACGATGTACAGGTCCTTAGCGGTCTTGTGTTGGCCGAAGCGAGCACGTTCAGCTAACGGCAGATGGTTGCGAATAGCTAGGCGAGCAGCAGCGTGCGTCGCGGGTCTGCCACTGTGAGCGAGAGAGGCTGACAGCTGTGTCAGGAGGAGCAACTGAGGCGCCAGAAGCGTGATCATACAGAGAAACTCCATCCTTGACATCGGTCATTAGGTACAGTTGCAGATCATCGAGCAAGATGGCAAACTGGATCGGGCGGCCGTCAGGGTCAAACGTGAGAACATTGATTGTAGCCATGAGTGCAGCGCGGGCCACATGCACTTAGGCAACAGAGGTGGCACACTAGCAGGCAGAGGCAGCGCGTTGACGGCAATGGCAGCGCGCGGGGCCGTAAGGGCCGCTGACAGGGGGCGCGCGGGCTAACAAAGGCTGCGGGCGGGCGGGCAAGGGCAGCGCGCGGACTGGCGGAGGCAGGGCGCGAGCTGCAGGTGGCGCGCGGGCCAGCAAAGGCGGCGCGCTGGCCTGGAAAGGCGGCGCGCGGGCCGGCAAAGGCAGAGGCCGCGCAAGGGCTGCTAAAGGCGGCGCGCTGGCCAGCAGGGGCCGCGCACGAGCAGGCGAAGGCTGCGCGCAGGCGGCGAGGGCGGCGTGCGGGCCTTACGGGCCTGCAGGGGCAGCGCGCGAGCACGCAGAGGCGGAGTGCGTGCCGTGCGGGCTGCTAGCGGGCGACGCGCGGGCAGCAGGCGGGCGACGCGCGAGCTGCAGGCGGGCGACGCGCGGGCAGAGGCAAAGCACGGGCCGCGCGGGCTGCTGGCGAGCCACGTGCGGGCAGCAGGCGGGCGACGCGCCGGCAGAGGCAGGGCACGGGCCGCGTGGGCCGCAAGCGGGCGACTGCAAGAGTGGCACGGGCTGCAGGCAGCAGCACAGTGCAGGACAGGGCAGGGCAGGGCACGCGCGAGTAGCGCAGCGCAGGACAGGGTGTGAGGTAGCACGGTAACTGCAACGGATGGTGGGCCCGAAAAAAAAAGACGGTCCTACGGACCTACTGCTCTGAATACCGTGTCAGAACTAAGTGCACGAACGAGTCCAACAATGAAAGTCTTTGGGTGCATATAGAAACCCTGAAGGGGTTGTACCCCATATTGGCTACCCCACTACAGCCTACGGATTATACTACAACATATATAGTTTGAAAAATATGCTATCGATGTATCACAATTAGCCTCGAACATTGTTTTTGGAGTATCACAATTAGTCACGAACAGGGCCTCAGATTTCAGCAAAAAAAAGGCTGATTTAGGATCGGAAGGCTGATTTTTCAGACATGGGGTTAATGCATTTACTGGTATTTCAGTTTTTTTTTAGTGTATGGGCTGATTTTTCAGCGTTTTTTTACAAGTGTTGACTGATTGATCAGCGTACTAACGAGGGTGTAGGCTGATATCACGCTATTACTGATTCTGTAGGAGCCGTGAGTTTCGGCTGTCTAGGTACATTCCCCGTCAGTCACGCCGAAGTTGCCATCTCCCGACGCGTCAATTCGGTGCAGAAGTTCTGCAGCAGAACAACAACGCACAGCAAAGCACCGGGTGCCCCCACGTCAAACACCCCCACCTCACCCCACAGCACTTTGAAAATGGTCTCTCTAGCTTTGTTCAGCCTTAGTTTTTAAGTGAGGCTGATTAGTCAGCCTTTTTTTAAAGCCAAGGTCTCAAGTACACCAAGTGCTTTGCAGTCGACTGAATAGGTGCCTTGCTGATTGGCCTACGAATCACGAAACCAATATAGGCTCTAAACGAAACTCGCCAAGCACCCTCTTTTCGCAGCAAAGTCAGACACTTCTTCGCGAACCCAAACCTGACGATTCAGGGTGAGCGATACAAACCAGCACGACGCCTTTGATGTCGCAGGCCCATCCCTTCACAGGGTCAACTGCAATGCACAATTTTGTTCAAGACAACAAACATACACATACACAGGCAGTAGCCATAATCAGTACACACGCTAGACCGTGAGCTTGGCTTGGGCTGCGACGAACAGGCTGGAGCAACAACGATGTTATACCGTGTGACGCCGGAAATATATAGGGTTATCGGCGTCACGTCTTGCAATATCGAGGTAAAAAGCATGCTCTTCCCGTCACATCTTGCATAACGTGTGGTAATGTCTAGCAAGATCGAGCATTAGCCTGTGACGCCGGAAACAACCACACGCTCCGCGCTAATAGTATAATGCCGCAGGCTGCAAACATTCCACGGAGCCCCACGTTTCCGTTGCGCACAATTAGGCAGCACTTTGGCGCAAACACGACATGGTGTCCGGCGTCCCGTCGAAACGACACCTCCTACACGCGCCTCGGAATGTGGAGTCACGCGCAACGCGATTAGGAGAGAGATGGGAGAGCGCCGCAAATTAGCCACGGCTATATCTTGATCCCCTTATGCGATACGGGAGGAGACATTGAGCCGCGCCCGCATGGACAGTAGCGTCACATCAGGCTGCGCAATTATAAAAGCGCATGCCAACACGCACGTTAGGGTGCGCCCTTGCTCCCCGATGCGCACACCCCAGGCAATCATCAGCCTGCCCTCTATCACCCGAGTCCCCCCATCTCCCTTCACCGCAGGTGCTGCCATACGGTTACAACACTCCCCCTTCCGCCATGCTGAGGGCCCCTTCCCCCGCGCACACTTGGGCATCTCCCACTGTTACACTCCCCATCCCCCGCGGGAATACTTCCACCCCCCAAACATCCCCCCCCTTTCTCCATGCACCCACCCCCCATCCCCCACGCTTGAGCTCCTCTTTCTTCACGCTCCCAATGCAACATGACCCACCGTAGCACTTCCCTTTCCCCTCAGTTCTACTCCCCTTCCCCCACGCTTCCCCTCCTCTTCCCCCACGCTTTCACTCCCCTTCCCCCACACTTCCACTCCCCATCTTCCAATGTTCCACTCCCCATCCCCCACGCTTCCCCTCCCCTTCCCCCATGCTTCCCCTCCTCTTCCCCCACGCTTTCACACCCCTTCCCCCACGTTTCCACTCCCCATCCCCCACTGTTCCACTCCCCATCCCCCACCGTTACTCACCCCTTCCCCCACGCTTCCACTCCCTTTCCCGCACTGTGCCTCTACCCCTACCTCCATGCTTCCAGTCCCCTTCCACCACGCTTCCAATGCAGCATCCCCCGCTGTTACACTTCCCATCCCCCACGCTTCCACTCCTCTTCCCCCACTCTTTCACTCCCCTTCCCCCACCATACCACACCCCATCTTCCACTGCTCCACTCCCCATCCCCCACTGTTCCACACCCCATCCCCCCCGCTTCCCCTCCCCTTCCCCCACGCTTCCCCTCCTCTTCCCCCACGCTTTCACTCCCCTTCCCCCACGCTTCCACTCCCCATCCCCCACTGTTCCACTCCCCATCCCCCACCGTTACTCACCCCTTCCCCCACGCTTCCACTCCCCTAACCCCTCGGTTCTACTCTCCCCCACGCTTCCACTCCTTGTCCCCCACGCTTTCACACCCCTTCCCCCACACGTCCACTCCCCATCTTCCAATGTTCCACTCCCCATCCCTCACCGTAACACTCCCCTTCCCCCACGCTTCCCCCCCTCTTCCCCCACGCTTCCCCCCCTCTTCCCCCACGCTTCCCCCCCTCTTCCCCCACGCTTTCATTCCCCTTCCCCCGTGCTACCACTCCCCATCCCCCACTGTACCACTCCCCATCCCCCACTGTTCCACTCCTCATCCCCCACTGTTCCACTCCCCATCCCCCACTGTTCCACTCCCCATTCCCCACTGTGCCAATCCCCATCCCCCACTGTTCCACTTCCCATCCCCCACTGTGAAACTCCCCATCCCCCACTGTGAAACTCCCCATCCCCCACTGTTCCACTCCCCATCCCCCACTGTTCCACTCCCCATCCCCCACTGTTCCACTCCCCATCTCCCACTGTTCCACTCCCCATCCACCACTGTTCCACTCCCCATCCACCACTGTTCCACTCCCCATCCCCCTCTGTGGCACTCCCCATCCCCCTCTGTACCACTCCCCATCCCCCACTGTTTTACTCCTCATCCCCCACTGTTCCACTCCCCATCCCCCACTGTGCCAATCCCCATCCCCCACTGTTCCACTCCCCATCCCCCACTGTTCCACTCCCCATCCCCCACTGTTCCACTCCCCATCCCCCACTGTTCCACTCCCCATCCCCCACTGTTCCACTCCCCATCCCCCACTGTTCCACTCCCCATCCCCCACTGTGCCACTCCCCATCCCCCACTGTTCCACTCCCCATCCCCCACTATGCCACTCCCCATCCCCCACTGTTCCACTCCCCATCCCCCACTGTTCCACCCCCATTCCCCCCCACTTCTACCCTCATCGTCGTCGATCTTTCTCTGCTCCTCCCCTGTTCCTTCCCTCGGCTTCCCACTGGATTCCTCCAGACTCGGCCTATGCCCGCCAGACTCTGGCACCTCCTGCTGCCTCTGGTATATCATCGAGAACCCCGTCGCCATGCCCCGCTGCTCCGTTGCTCTTATGCTCCCCTGTGCCCTTTCCACGCTTCCACTCCGCCTTCCCCCCGCGCTTCCACTCCCCTTCCCCCACGCTTCCACTCCCCTTCCCCCACGCTTCCACTCCCCGTCCCCCACTGTGCCACTCCCCCTTCCTCCACTCTTCCACTCCCCTTCCCCCACGCTTCCAATGCACCATGCATTGTTGTCACACTCCCCTTCCCCGACGGGTTTTGTCCCATTCCCCCACGGTAACACTCCCTTTCTCCCACGCTCCCACTCCCCATCCCCCACTGTTTCACTCCCCTTCCCCCACTGTGTCACTCCCCTTCCCCCACTATTTCAGTCCCCTTCTGGGACTGTTCCACTCCCCTTCCCCCACTGTTTCACTCCCCTTCCCCCAACGTTTCACTCCCCCTTCCACCAAGCTTCCACTACCCTTCCCCCACGTTTTCAATGCAACATCCCCCACTGTTTCACTCCCCTTCCCTCACTGTTTAGGTCCCCTCCCCCCACCCCCACGCGTCCACTCCCCTTCCCCCACGCTTTCACTCCCCTTCTCCCACTGTTTCACTCCCCTTTCCCCAGTGTGCCACTCCCTCTTCCTCCACTCTTCCACTCCTCTTCCCCCACGCTGTTTATGCAACATACATTGCTGTTACACTCCCCTTCCCGGATGGGTCATCTCCCATTCCTCCACGGTAACACTCCCATTCTCCCACACCTCCACATCGTCCACGCTCCCACTCCCCATCCCCCACTGTTTCACTCCCCCTCTTCCACTGTGTCACTCCCCTTCTTCCACTGTGTCACTCCCCTTCCCCCATTGTTTCACTCCCCTTCCCCCACTGTTTCACACCCCCACTGTTTCACTCCCCTTCCCCCACTGTTCCACTCCCCTTCCCCCACTGTTTCACTCCCCTTCCGCTCCGCTTCCACTTCCTTTCCCCCACGCTTTCACTCCCCTTCTCCCACTGTGAGACTCACCTTCCCTCACTGTGCCACTCCCCCTTCCTCCACTCTTTTACTCCCCTTCCCCCACACTTCCAATGCACCATGCATTGTTGTTACACTCCCATTCCCCCACGGTAACACTCACTTTCTCCCACGCTTCCACCCCACCTTCCCCCATGCTTTTACTCCCCTTCTCCCACTATTTCAATCCCCTTCCCCCGCTCCTCCACTCCCCCTTCCTCCACCCTTCCACTGCCCTTCCCCCACACTTCCAACGCAACATGCTTTGCTGTTACACTCCCCTTTTCCGACGGGTCATCTCCCATTCCTCCACGGTAACACTCCCTTTATCCCACACCTCCACTCCGCCCACGCTCCCACTCCCCTCCCCCCACGCTCCAACTTCCCCCCCACTATATTTCACTCCCCTTCCCCCACTGTTTCACTCCCCTTCCCCCACCGTTTCACTCCCCATCCCCCACGCTCCCACTCCCCTTTCCCCACTATGGCACCTCCTGCTACCTCTGGTACCTCATTGAGATGCTTGTCGGCATGGGCCGTCTTAGAGTTCTTTGCAAAACTAGCCTCTACCCGGTGAATACCCTGTTCTTTTTCATAGCTTCACTCGCCCAATAGACTCTCGCACTGCCAGCTGCGTTTGGTCCATCCTGGAGCTTCTCGTTTGAATGGTCTGCTTGTAGAATTATCTCAAAGAGAACCAATGTCAATCTCCTTCCCTGCGCAGTTTCTTTCACTAATCCTTTTTACTCTTGCACGCATGATCCTGCCACCAGATTCTGTGACATGCTGCTGTCTCGCCTACATCATTTAGCTTCTAGTCCGTGCTCCCCATGCTCCTCTTCATCACGGATCACTATGTAATGTCACATCTGTTCACCTCCATATTGGGTCCCCAACTCACTCCATCTGCATTCCCACTGATTCCGTGCCCCACAGTTCGAACATGGATCGGAGAACTCGACATAAGGGATTGACTCTGGGTACACGATTAACTGATGAATTGGAGAGTGATTCGGACAGTGACGATCGTGGACAGCCATGGAAGAACCGCAGATTAGTGGGTGGTGGCATGAGGAGAGGGTGGAGTCGAGCTAGCGTCCAGCAAGGCCATGTCAAGCCTCTTTTGCGACGCTCTCATAAACCATCTGGCAAACCACCGGTACTGCTGGAAGCTAGTGAGTCACGGTCTCTTGAAGAATTTGCTCGGGTCAACCCCAAGCAGAACAGTGTTCTCGAGAAGTGGGTTATAGAGGAGTTAGAACTGCCCCAAGAGAGTCAAGGCGTCGTGGCCAACAACATCCAAAGAGTCGAAGCAGTTCTGTGCATATGTTGCGGGAAGAACACGCAAACATCTAACGACGGCCGTCCCATGCTTCCCAAGAACCACAGGTTCAGGTGTTACGTGCGCTTCTCCGACCTGCTAGGAGACGATCAAAAGGCCCACGTAAGACTGCCATGGTTGGTGTACGTTGTGATAGGATCTTTGTACCCCGAGACCGACCAGATGAACGAGGGCTACCGGAATCACACGCAGTCGGACATTGATTTCTTTTTGGGTGATTGGGAACCACCCGAAGACATAGACTTTGGAGTGCGAGGTTTTGACTCAGGAGTGACAGTGTCTAGGGCGGATGGCACAACTGTCGCACCAGATTGTGATGGTGGTGGTTGCTCCTAGGACTTTCTACTGTGTACTATTTATTCCATGCTTGGTTTGAAAAAAACATACGGTAGTAAGGGTGCAACACAATTTTATGCAATGATGAATTTCCTCACACGGTTTATGCATCCAATACGCAGAAATCAACACCGTTGAGGTTGTGGAACGCACGTTTGTGCGTTTTTTTGGTCCGTATAACAGCCGCAAGGTGCATGTGAGTGCGTGCCACCGCATTATATAAAAACATAGCGAGCCTCTAACACAAGTTTATGCAACGCTGAATTTTCGAACGCTATTTATGCAATATATTCGCGGAAATCAACACCGTTAACGTTGTGGAACGCACGTTTCCGTGTATTTCGGTCCGTTAAACGGGCACAAGTTGCATTTGAGAGCGTGCCACAACAATACAAAAAAAAACAAAGCAAGGGTGCAACACAAGTTTATGCAACGATGAATTTCCGAACGACTTTTACGCAATAAATTCGCGAGAAACAGCACCCTTAAGGTTGTCGAACGCACGTTTGTTCGTATTTTGGTTCGTAAAACGGCCTCAAGGTGCATTGGAGTGCATGCCACCACAATTTATAAAAACATGGCAAGGGTGCTATACAAGTTCATGCAACGCTGAATTTCCGAACACCTTTTTATGCAATAAATTCACAGAAATAAACACCGTTAAGGTTGTGGAACGCACGTTTATGCGTATTCTGGTCCGTTAATCGGGCACAAGGTGCATTTGAGAGCGTGCCACAATAATACAAAAAAACATAGCAAGGGTGGAACACAAGTTTATGCAACGAGGAATTTCCGAACGACTTATACGCAATAAATTCGCGAGAGACAACACCGTTAAGGTTGTCGAACGCACATTTGTGCGTATTTTGGTTCGTAAAACGGCCTCAAGGTGCATTGGAGTGCATGCCACCATAATTTATAAAAACATGGCAAGGGTGCAATACAAGTTTATGCAACGCTGAATTTCCGAACGCTATTTATGCTATAAATTCGTAGAATTCAACACCGTTAAGGTTGTGGAACGCACGTTTCTGCGTATTTCGGTCCGTTAATCACGCACAAGGTGCATTTGAGAGCGTGCCACAATTATACAAAAAAAACATAGCAAGGGTACAACACAAGTTTACGCAACGATGAATTTCTGAACGACTTTTACGCAATAAATTCGCGAAAAAACAGTACCGTTAAGGTTGTCGATGCCAGAGGTCCACTGGAGATCCCCGATGATCCTAGGGAAGGGTTACAGGCACGTTGGCCTGGGGGGTTATGGACGCACTCACCCGCTACACAAACAAGCCCTTTTATCCCAGTGGTTAGTGGTTGGGATTCTGACATGGTATCAGAGCGAAGGTCTCGGGTTCGAATCTCGGTGTGTGCACCTCGGGCATCCCAATGCGGGGGGGTGTCAGAGGTCCACTGGAGATCCTCGATTGATCCTAGGGAAGGGTTATAGGCACGTTGGCCTGGGGGGTTATGGGCGCACTCACCCGCTACACAAACAAAGCCCTTTTATCCCAGTGGTTAGTGGCTGGGATTCTGACAGTCGACCGCACGTTTGTGCGTATTTTGGTTCGTAAAACGGCCTCAAGGTGCATTGGAGTGCGTGCCACCACAATTTATAAAGACATGGCAAGGGTGCAATACAAGTTTTTCAACGCTGAATTTCCGAACGCTATTTATGCAATAAATTCGCAGAAATCAACACCGTTAAGGTTGTGGAACGCACGTTTCTGCGTATTCTGGTCCGTTAATCGTGCACAAGGTGCATTTGAGAGCGTGCCACAATAATACAAAAAAACATAGCAAGGGTGCAACACAAGTTTATGCAACGATGAATTTTCGAACGACTCGTACGCAATAAATTCGCGAGAGACAACACCGTTAAGGTTGTCGAACGCACGTTTGTGCGTATTTTGGTTCGTAAAACGGCCTCAAGGTGCATTGGAGTGCGTGCCACCACAACTTATAAAAACATGGCAAGGGTGCAATACAAGTTTATGCAACGCTGGATTTCCAAACTCTATTTATGCAATAAATTCGTAGAAATCAACACCGTTAATGCTGTGGAACGCACGTTTCTGCGCATTTCGGTCCGTTAATCGGGCACAAGGTGCATTTGAGAGCGTGCCACAATAATACAAAAAAACATAGCAAGGGTGCAACACAAGTTTATGCAACGATGAATTTCCGAACGACTTTTACGCAATAAATTCGCAAAAAACAGCACCGTTAAGGTTGTCGAACGCACGTTTGTGCGTATTTTGGTTCGTAAAACGGCCTTAAGGTGCATTGGAGTGCGTGCCACCACAATTTATGAAAACATGGCAAGGGTGCAATACAAGTTTATGCAACGCTGGATTTCCAAACTCTTTTTATGCATTAAATAACCACTAGTGTGGTTTTGGAACGCACATCTGTACGCCTTTCTTTCCGATGGTAGGATAACCTATGCATTAGACTAGGTGCCCCCACTGTTTCACTCACCTTCCCCCACGCTCCTACTCCCCTTCCCCCACTGGCCTCCCCTTCCCCCACGCTCCCACTAACCCCTTCCCCCACTACCCTTCCGCCACTGTTTCATTCCCCTTCCTAAGTATCCCTATCCATGCAGGAGCTTATTCTCTCTGCCCTATTCCCTTCAGGATGAACAGGAATCGGAGCACACGACAGGATATATTGACTTTGGGCACACGGCCCACCGATGAATTGGAGAGTGATTCGGAGGCGAAGACCATGTCCAGTCAAGGATGAAGCGCAGATTAGTGGGGGGTGGAATTATGAGAGGGGTCATTGTACCTGGAGGAGATGGGGTAGGGCTATGAGAATTGCAGAGGGGCGGACATTGATTTCTCCTTGGAAACATGGGAAGTACCTTCAGACGTAGACTTCGGAATGCCAATTATTGACTGAAATGAGCTACCATCAATGATGGTTGACACTACAGTCGCTCCAGATAATGAGGGTGGTAGTGAGAGCCAATGGGTTTTTGGCACTGGATTACTTGTTACGTTCTACATAATGCGCAGGTATTAGTATTGTATGCAAATGTAGGTTTCTATACGTCAGCTTCATGGTTTTTCAGAGGCTTGCCCTGTAAAACAACACACAAAATAAAGGGATTCATTATTGGAGATACATGGTTTGGAAGAGGGTTGGAAATAAGGGCGATAGTGAACTGTTTGAGACGCAACACCATCTGGTAGGAAATTAAACAGAGACGGCTAGACACAATGAGGAGGAATCGATGTGCGAGGAGACGGAGGGGACTGCTGGGAATAACGTACAGATCCACGTTTGCGACCAACCATGGTGCAAGATGACTCATCCGCGTCGAGATGATAATCCCGTAGGCTATGTCAAGTATTTGTATGCGATGAAAAAGATGGAAAGGGTGGGGGGTGGGTTGGGAGAGGTGTGTTTTGCATGAGGCAGGGGCTGCAATATCTGCATCCTCCCATTCTGCCCGTCCAACTACCACCGTAGAATCACCGGATCACACGCAAACCCCAAAGCCTCTGGTGATAGGAAAACAATCTTGGAATCTTAAGGGGATGGCAGCACAAAGGGGCAAAAAAGGAGGTGAAGAGTTTGGGGGTGGGAAAGGGTGTGTTTTGCGTAAGGCAGAGGCTGCTACATCTGCATCCGCCCATGCTTCCCATCCCCCTACCACCGTAGAGTCACCGGATCACACGCAAACCCTAGAGCAACTAGTGATAGGAAAACAATCCGGACATCGTGAGGGGATGGCAGCACAAAGGGAAACAGAAAAGGAGGTGAAGAGTTTGGGGGTGGGGAAAGGAGGAGTGCGAGAAAGAACACAGGGTGGTATGGGCAGGGAAGGGCCGAGAAATGAAGTAGATGGTGGAGGTCATGGTTTAGGTACATGTGAATTAGCATAA